TTATCAATTTTTCTCAACTGTGCTAAGCAAGAGTTAACTTCAACTTAGTATTGAATTAGTCTATCTTTGATACAAGATGACAAAATGATTGAAAATCATTTCTGTTATGTTCAACACATTGAAGGCATTGGAAAGAACTCATCACATAACATCCTTTTTAGACAATTCATTGGATGTCGACAACGATATAATCCATGAAAGTCCTTAGGCAAAATTGAATAGTATTATAGAGATGACGATATTCTAAAAACTTACTAGGAAATTTCTCCGGGTGTCAAATCACTTTTCGACCGAGACAATATTTATTTGATGAGTAATAGAAAAGTCTAAAATGGTTTGATTCTCAAGGCTTTCGTTCTTGAGATATCGAAATTCTACTGAATTTTTCAACAAAATGCTGCGGTCACGTAGAAAATCGACTGTCTATTTTAAAGTTTGTACGAACAAAATTCTTAATGAGATTAGTTGATTGTGCAACTAGTATTTCCTATCTGGAGATGTGAATATATGAACAAAGTTTGCTTTTATACATGAGAAAATTTCGAATATTGAATATTTCAAGATTGAAGATACTAAAAAATTTACAACTTGTTCCCAATAATCTAAGCTCATTGAGAACTTTGTTCATATAAAGTTTGAAGTCGAAACTCGAAAGTTGATTTTTTACGTCGTCACAAATTTTTATTGACAAACTCAGTAAAATTTCGATATTTCAAGAACAAAGACCTAGAAAACCAAACTATTTTAGATTTTTCTATTACTTATCATATAAACATTATCTTAGTTGAAATGCGATTTAGCATGTGAAGAGGTTTTCTCACTAGATAAAAACTTTTAAAAAGTGGTATTCAGTGGTCTCCATATCGTGTTTTTTTGGCTGATTATTATTGTAGCTAATTTTGTTTTTATTTTGATAGTTGCATTTGCCATTTCACTTATCTTTGTCTCTTTTTTTTTACATTATTCGTGTGGAATATATACATATCTATTTTATCCAAAGTTTCTACTGGCCTGATTTATAATTCAAGATTATTAATTCTTATCTCCGTTGACCTTTTATTTGGTAAATGATTGATCTATATTATATTTGACTCGAAAGAAATGACAGCAATAATAACAAAGAAGAAGTTACAATCAAAATTAAACTCACTTGATTTTCATTATTATTCTGAACAACTGAATTGATTTCAATGTAAGCTAATTGTAAAGCAGATTGCCATGATATTGATGAAATACTAAGTCCGTTTGATTTTATTGACCATTTTTGAGCAAGTAGTTGTAATTTGCACAATGCTACTTGTAGTTCCATATGATTATTGCGTGTTAATGACAGTGGTATAAAAATCTAGAGTAATTATCAAATTGAGGAAAAAACGTATTTAAGACATACCAAAAGTTGTGACGTAGGTGTTTTAAGTCTTTATAAAAAGCTTAAAGAACCATTCTTTCTATATGGTCAGATAGTAAAAACAATGCTCTGCATTTCTCCAATATTTTGATCATTCTTCAAATAATATTATAATAATAAAATTTCGATAAGAGCGAATTGTTATGATATTTAACGAAAATATTCGATCACATTTTATCTTCAATATGTATCTTCTTCTTTTTTTGTTTCTCGTCTCCTCTAATACCTAGCTATTTATATATATTATAAACAAGTTCATGGATTCTTTGCATAAAGAAGAGAAATAATCACAATATCAGAGAGATGTAAAGGATTATTTTTACCAGCGGACTATATAGCAAGGACATTTTGTTTTAAATTTTTATACGAAACTAGCATATTTCTGCCACTATTTTTGATATGGCCTAAGTACATACTTCACTTTGATGTTGTCCATTAACAATAAGTCCAAACATTGGTATGCGTTGTACGCCAACATATGTCGTGATGATACTAAATAGTTGATCAAGTCCATGGCAAACACCATGAATAGTTTTTTCACTTAAACCATAATCAATAAGTAATAAAAGACCTGGATATATCGATCGAACAGAACGGGTACTGGTTAATTTCGACATTTTTATGAATTTGAATGATTTAAACCATTAGATTTCTTTCGTTCAAAATTATGTTTATGTAACCAATAAACAATATAAATCATTCGATATATGCAGGTGGCGCAACAAGTTGAATATTGTAAATAAAATGAACAAACGTTATTTTGTCACAAATCGAAAAGTATCTTTTGTTTGAATGGGCAGTTCCTCATTTTCTCTCGTGATAAATTCTAATTTTAAAAGATAAATAGTTAATTAATTTCGAATTTATTTAATTCTTGTTGAAATTGTTCGTCAATAAAATTACTGGAATATTTATTTTATAATGGTACTATTTGGAGTGATTCTCTTTCATCTATATATACTGAGAAAGTTGACAAAACTACATTGTACGTGTACCTACACCCCACATCATCAAGGTTTAATAAATGAGAGAAAAAAGTTGATTTTTTTCTTCAAACGGAGTCAACTATGTGTTACACAGTCATGTCTTGCGCAATTTAGGACATGGATAAGGATCTCCTTTTGCCCATACCCTATCTTGAATGATTGAATGGTATATCCCTTTCGAAATACGTGCTATCTCTTTGAAACATCCGAACATTCCAATAAAGTATAGAAAAATGTCCTATGAAACAGTTCGTTATAAATTTTCTCGGCTAAATACAAAACGACGGAAGATATAGAGATTTATGCACAGATCTTTTGAAGACATAGAACGATTTTTCAAGTATTGCATGTTGTTCTCTAATTGGCAAGTGATTGAAAAACGAGATGTTCTTTCCAAAGCTCATCACTTTGTAATATATACGATCTGGTGATGAAGCAAGAAGACATGTCTTCTAGGTTTGCTGAAAATCTACTATTTCTTGAGTCGTAG